GCCGAAGGGCCTGTACTGTGCTGTACTGTTCAATGTTCTCCATATCCCTTGATCCCCTTAGCTGCAAGGGCCACATCCAGCTTCCTCTTGAATATATCTGATGAACCAGCCCTAACAGCTTCCTTTTGGGAGGAAACTCCACAGGTTCACAACTCTTGAGTAAAGAAATTTTTCCTCATCTCAGCCCTGATTGGCTTACCCCTTATGTTTAGACCGTGACGCCTCATTCTGGACTTCTCCAACATCGGGAACATTCTTCCTGCATCTAGCCTGTCCAGTCCCATCAGGATCTTGTTTCTGAGATCCCTGCTTGTTCTTCTACATTCCAGCAAGTACAGGCCTAGTCGATCCAGTCTTTCCTCATATGTTGGTCCTCCCATCCCGGAATCGGTCTGGTGAACATTTGATGCACTGCCTCGAGCAAGAATATCCTTCCTTGGATTAGGAGACCAAAACTGCCTCACCGAGGCCCTGTATAACTGCAGCGAAGCATCCCTATTCCAACACTCAAATCCTCTCGCTATGAAGGCCAGCATGCCATTAGCTTTCCTCACCACCTGCAGGTCCACCTTCAGCGATTATTCCACTATGGCACCCAGGTCTTGTTGCACCTCATGTTTTCCTAAACTGCCACCATTCAGATAATAACCTGCCTTCCTGTTTTTGCGACCAAAGTGGATAACCTCACATTTATCCAGACTATATTAGAAGTATTTGCTCTCTCAACCAGTCCACCCAAGTCACCCTACAACCTTTTAGCATCCTCCCCACAGCACACACCGCCACCTAGCTTCGCATTATCATCTGCAAATTTGGAGATATTGAATGCAATTCCTTTGTCCAAATCATTAATGTACACTGTGAACAGCTGGGGTCCCAGCACTGAACCAGGCGGTACTCCACTCGTCACTGCCTGCCACTCTGAAATGGACCCATTTATTCCAACTCTCTGCTTCCTGTCTGCCAGCCAGTTCTCTAACCACGTCAATGCATAATCTCTGCTACCATGAACTAATTTTCCTTATATTCTGATGCAATCATCTGTGGGATCCTGACCAGTGAGTAATAGTTTTAGGAATTTTGGAGACAGGGTAGGAATGTGGTGCAGAGGGAAGAAATACTTTTTTCTTGTTTTTCTTTTGCTTATAGTTTGGAAGATTTTTTTTTGTAACACAATAAATTGAATCCCAGGATCAGGGACCCACAAAAGAATGACATCATAGGTAAACCATTAAATTAATTGGTGATAGCTGCCAATTTGATTATCCATTATAGGTTACTTTCAGATTGAAGATAACTATGGGAAATTTTTACAGGTTACAGACTGGAAAATATATGGCTTTTTTTAAAAAAAAAGATCAAATTAAGAACTAAATAATTAAAACAGAGATGCCAAGCCAGGTGATGTTTTGTAACTGCACAATGTGGGAGCTGGTGCACCCATTGTGGTTCATAGTGATCACATCTGGAGCAAGCGCTGGTTTCTTACAGAACTCTGACTCAGAGTTGGGGAGCTTTGACCATGCGACATGCGACACTGGTCCAGGAGGCAGTCACATCCCTCCTATTAACTACCTCGAATTTCATCAGTGGTCAGAGTCAGGAGGGTGTGACAGTGAAATGAGGCAGGTAGTGCTGAAGGAGCCTTGGCCTTTGAGCTTGTCTATTGCTCCTTGTCTGGGTGAGAATGGGGGCTGTAAGGAGGTTGAGCAAATTGACCGTAACATCATGGTACAGAGAGCCATTGAAGAAAGGAGAGAAAGGAAATGAAGGGTCTAGGCCTGAAACGTCAGCCTCTCTGCTCCTATGATGCTGCTTGACCTGCTGTGTTCATCCAGCCCTGCACCTTGTTGTCTTGAAAGGAGAAATGTGATTGGGGATAGTATAGTCAGGGGAACAGACACTATTCCCTGTGACCAGGATCGAGTGTCCCAAAGGTTGTGTTACCTGCCTGGTGCCTGGGTTCAGGATATCTCATCTAGGCTGCAGAGGAACTTGGAGTGGGAGGGGAAAGATGTAGTAGTTGTGGCCCATGTGGGTACCAATAAAATCAGTAGAAAGAGGAAAGAGGTTCTGCTGAGGGAATATGAGCAGCTAAAAACCAAAACCAAACGGATGATAATCTCCAAATTACTACCTGAACCATGAGCAAATTGGCACAGGGTCAAGAAGATTAAAGAGGTAAATGCATGGCTCAAAGATTGGAGTGGGAGAGTGGGATAGTCTCCACCCGAATCCTGCTGGGACCAGACTGTTCGTGGATCGCATAACTTTGATTTCTTTTTCTCTTTCTTTTTCTTCGTCTTCTGACATTATGGGGAAGCCGGAGTAGTGCCAATGGGGTTAATAGGTTTACCGGTGCCCGAAGCGAGGTCTTCGGGGGGCGGGGGGTGGGGGGGACTCTCCTGATCTTCAGCTGCAGCACTGCTCAGTGGGTCATTTGCTGTGGTGGTGGCAGTGCCTGGTGCGAGGACTCCTGGTTGCGGTAGGCCTAAAGTGTGGCCTCGGTGCTTTGGTGGTGCCCAATGCTGAAACTCTTGGCAGCAGGTCCCTCCGTTAGAGGCAGTAAACCTGAGGTGGAGGAACTCCTTGAGGCCCAGGTCTCTGCAAGGTGTCCCTGCCGTGTTTGAAGACCCTCTGTACAAATAAAGAAACTCTGTTTATGTAATTTATTTTTATTCTTTTTGTAACTCAAAGTAGTGTTGGGTTGTGGCAACAAAACACTTTTCACAGTATTTTTCTTAATTTATATGTGACAATAACCCTGTGGATAAGGATTTAAATTAAAAAGTGAGGCGAGAGTGGGGATGAGTTTGGTTGCTTAGGAAAACATTAAAGGGGGAGAGCTCAGCCAGAGGTTATTCAAGTTTCTGAAACAAATAATAGGACAGAGAGTACGGAAAGGGTCAGCTTCAGGAACAGCACGTGAGGGGACAGAGGGCAGACAATGCAGGACTGAGGATGTTGTACTTAAATGCATGTGGTATATAAAACGAGCTACAGCAAACTTTGTTTTAAGCAGCACCTTATGAACCGGCCTTCTCGCTAAACCAGCAAAAATTATACACCTGAAATGCTGGAAGTTTGCTGTATTACCATGATCTCTGCGATGTCCGAGTAGTCAGCTGAGGGTTACAATGAGAAGGCTCTCTGCCAGTAAGTTTTATTTAAGGCAAAGTTGCATGATTATTTGTGATTTATGCTGTGAATAAAGTATAACAGTGATTTGTATTCCCCCTGCATTAGGTTTTTATTACTTAGTGTGTGTTTTTACATTTGATTCTATGGACCTCTTGATTAACTGCACACTCCTGGTCCCATAGATGCCAGTTAATTTTTTTTTAAAAGTTCTTATAAATGAGCTTGTAGTACTGATTGAAATTGGCAGGTATGATGTTGTGGGTATAACAGACAAGGGGATCAGGGCTGGGAACTAAATATCCAAAAATACACAACCTATTGAAAGGATGGACAGAGTGGCCTTGTTAGTAAATTAAATTTAATTGTTTTGCGAGAGTCCCAAGGTGCAGAATGTGTGTGGGTAGACTTGAGGAACTGCAAAGGAAAAAAATGTGGTTTTCCTTTCAAAGGAAAGGATGTGGAGAAGAAAATAAATCAGGAGATAGAAAAGGCATGTTAGAAAGACACTTTTGCAATCATCGTGGGGCACTTCAATATGCAGGTGGACTGGGAAAATCAGATTGGTAGCAGATCTCAAGAAATTCAAAATCCATGAAATTCTTTTTGGAGCAGCTTGTGGTGGACCCCTCTCGGGACCACTCAGTTCTGGATTTGATGTGTAATGAGGCTGACTGGATTAGAGATCTTCAAGTGTAGGAATCCCTAGGGGGCAGTGACAGTAGTATGATAGAATTCACCCTGCAGTTTGGGAGGGAGAAGCTGGAATCAGATGTTACAATATTACAATTAAGTAAGGGTAAAACCCCATTGACCTACAGGAGAAATTTGAGAGTATAAGGTGGAGGGGAGTTTTCAGACCAAGAGGGTTTAGCTCACCACAAACTTTTCCCTTCACAGAGTGATGAGATGATGAATGCGAGTATGAAATAATACGAACAGCTGATGGCAACTCTGTCCGGGTCATCATGTGCTGTTAGTGATTTCAGATTGTTCCACTCAATCTGTGTCAGCTGTGATTCACTGAGTGAGACTGCTCATAATACATTATCATCTATTCCCTACATTGTGGAAGTAGGCCATTCGTCCTATCACCTCCGCACCGATCCTCCCAAGAGCATCGCACCCAGACCCACCATCCCTCCCCGAGCGTCGGTTTGGACTCGATGGGCCGAATGGCTTGCTTCCACACTGTAGGGATTCTATGACATACACAGCTGAGGATCTGATCACCATCCCGTGAGCGTGTGGGAGCCTGCCGTTTCCTACAGTGATTCAGCGGCTGTCAGGTGATTTTTCTTTTTGGTGGGGGGGGAGGTGGTGGTGAGTGCGTGTCTTGAAAGGCGCTAGACAAATGCAACTGTTCATTTGATTTGATTCAAAGTGGAATTCCCGCGGTTCCCCGCGCCGCCTGGGCTGGGCACGCAGGCGCAGTCTGCCTGAAATCTAAGGACATTGGATACATTGTAACTGAAAGTGGCTGTTTCCAGGTGGATACATTGTAGCCAGATTCCAGTGAAAGTATCCAGCCGCTGGGATACATTGTAACTGAATGGGAAGGGAGTGTTGTAACATCCTCCGAAAACTTGCTACAAGGCAACCTGGGGGTGGGAAGAGAGTTTGCTGGTCACTATTGCCTGTGTGTTTCTGGTTACTGTGGATGCAGGAGGCGGGGTATTTCAAAGTGACAACAGAAGAATGATTTGTGACACTTCCAGCCAGCTTTTGTAGCGTGCCAGGCCATTGGGGCACTCTATCTCCTGCTGATCCCTCCCATTTTTGCTGCATGTGATTTGTGGAACATCCCCGGCCTGGCTCCCGGGCACTCTGTGTAACTGACAAATGGTTGATTTCACTGTCAGCCGGAGGGGCCGGCACCACAGGACAGGGGTAAACGGGATCCGGCAGAGCCACGGGCTATTGCAGTCTCCACCCCTCACCCTGTCTGACCTGGACAGCGGTTTGGAAGCACTGAACAGGACCCGAAGATCTCCGCTCCGATTTCAGGTATTTACGTAAAGAAAAAAATGTTCTGTGCCCAACAGAAGGAAGTTATCACTGCAAGTGACTTTGTGTAAGTGGCGCTGTCTGGAACTAAGCCAAGAATGGACCATACATCTTTAAGTCCAAAACCTTGTGTATGGCACTCTGGGAGATCTGATGCTGAGCTAGTAACTCAATCTGGAGTTGCCAAACGTGGGGCCAACTTCACGTTTTACACCTGAGTATGAAAAGATCACTGGCCTTACTCCAGTCCCACGCCAGTTATTCCCTGATAATTCCCTTGGCTCCAATTGGGCAATTTAGATTCATAGAATCCCTGCAACCTGGAAGCAGGCCATTCAGCCCATCAAATCCAAACCACCACTCAGAGGAGCATCCCATCAAAACCCCTCCCCCTGCATTCCCCATGGTTAACCCACCTAGCCTGCACATCCTTGGACACTATGGGCAATTTCCCATGGTCAATCCACCTAAGCTCCACATCTTTGGATTGTGGGAGGAAGCCGGAGCACCTGGAGGAAACCCACGCAGACACAGGGAGAATGTGCAAACTCCTCGCAGCCAGTTGCCCAAGGCTGGGATTGAACCCATGTCCATGGCGCTGTGAGACAACAGTGCTAAACACAGTGCCACCATGTTGCCCGTCAAGGCAAAATACTTGTCAAGGATCAATGCAATGATCGAATGACAAACAAAGTATTTGGCACAATGCCATGTTAAAAACAAGAGTCTGATGATTGTTAATCAATTCCTGACAAGTAGTGGGTTAGTTTGTTTAAAATAATAAAATACAATAAGTTATGAAGCAGACCAACTGTTTTCAGTGTGTGCAGCTTGTAAACCCACAGCAGATTAACTATAAGACAGAGTCACAGCATCATATACACACAGCTCATGGAGTCCTTTCTGATAAGCTCAGTGAAAGGCTAGAAACATGTATAATCCATAAAAACAGCCATTCAATCTGACAGGTCTCTATTCTTCATAGGCCTCCTCTCACTCACTGCAAGACTGCAAAAAGAAATAGAACGCCGTTGTTTGAACTAAGCTGAAACAATTTACAATTTGCACCAGTACGTGTCATCTCTGAGAAATAGGTCTGCTCTATTTCTAGTCTTTCTGAAGAGGAAGGACATATTGATTGGAAGGAACAGGAGACTGCCACCTTGCATCCAAAACACAGCTGGATGGGTGCTACCATCACCAGCGTGAACCTTCCTCATTCTGATGTGCCTGAAGCCTCCACAGTAGATGCAGGTCCAACGTTACATTGGCATGGCTGCCATTGAGTGTAACAGTTATGGGATAGAAGCTGGAGTAGCCAATTGAGGAAAGTAATCTGAACCTTCCAGGTGGGACATTTCATGGGCACAGTCAATTCCCCACGTCACTGCCCATCAAGCAGCCATTTTGCTACAGCAGCTGCCATATTCTCTCAACAGATCCTTGTACTTGTATGAGACTCAGGACCATCTCAAGCTCTGAGGTTTTGTAAGAGAATCATTGAATCCCGATAGTGCAGTTAGAGGCTGTTTGGCCCATCAGGTCTGCACTGTCCCTCCAAAAGACATCCCACCTAGACCCACTCCATCCCTGCATTTCCCATGGCCAATCCACCTGCACATCTTTGGACTGTGCGAGGAAACTGGAGCACCCAGAGGAAACCCACACAGGCACAGGGAGGATGTGCAAACTCCACACAGACAGTCGTCCGAAGGTGGGATCGAACCTGGGTCCCTGGTGCTGTGAGGCAGCAGTGCTAACCACTGAGCCACCCTTTCCAGTATGATTTGATCCTCGTTCAGTCATATCAGGCCCATGTCCCTCTCTTCCAGGAGCGCACTGTTTCTGGAATGGAATCTTAAGATTTTTGCTTTTCAGCTTTTACTTTAAGGGGGTGGGGTGCATCTCGTTCAATACTCTGACAGACCTTTGAACGGGCCTCTCATATATTACAGTTGAACTTTCTCTGCACCTTCTCTGTAGCTGTAACACTATATTCTGCATTCTGTTCTATTGACCCGATGTACTTACATAAGGTATGATTTGCCTGGATTGCTCATAAACCGTGATACAGTGAAAAGTATTGTTTTATGTGGCAGTAGTAAATCAAATCAAGTCAATAACTGGGGCAACCGGTTCTAGAGGGCATGGTGGGCTTGGGACTGCTGTACTCAGTTGGTAAGCCCAGGCCAGGAGCAACACTGGGGCCTGGGATTTCCTGCCCCAGTTAACATGTCATAAGAAAGATAAGTTATCCTTGGAGGAAGTGCAGTGTTTATTTATCAGAATGATATCTGCAATCCAAGGATTATATATGTAGGATTGCATAGATAAGATATACAGGCCATTTAACCTCACTAGTCTGTGCGACAGTTTTAAGTCTCCTCCACATCGTTTTTCTCCTCTCAGTCTGTTAGCCTAATGCTCAATTCCCTTCTCCCTCAGAAGTGTATCTTGCTTCCCTTTAACTGAATGCAGATTGTTCACTTCAACCTTTGTGTTTCACTTTCACTTTGGATAAAGCAGTTTAAAATGACAGAGAGATTGCTATTTCTGAAAGAACCCTGGGGTTGAGTTCAGGGTGAAGCTTATTCTTTCCTCTTGAAAGAATGATTGTAGAAACTTCTCATTATTGTATTTCATGAGCAAGCTGTGTCTGCAAAGACTCCAGAGACAACTGTACAAGTTCAATGAAGACCACACATGTCTGAACCTCAGAGCAACTGACTCCAGAACATGTGATTTATATTCATTGTGCCTTTATGAATAAGCCAGTGGCCCTCCTTTTTTTTAAATAGAAAGCCCATCTCTGCAGAGAAATCTTTTTTTCTCTTTTTATTGAACTGCACATGTGTGATGGCTTATTTGTTTTGGGGATAATTAGACGGATAAACATTTATATGGGGGGAGGCAATGGCCTAGTGGTATTATCACTAGACAGTCAATCCAGAGACCCAGATAATATTCTGGGGACCCAGGTTCAAAAATCCTGCCATGGCAGATGGTGGAATTTGAATTAAATGTCTAATGATGACTGAATTCATTTGTTGATTGTTGGGAAAAACCCCTCTGGTTCACTAATGTCCTTTAGGGAAGGAAACTGCCATCTTTACCTGGTCTGGTTTACATGCAACTCCAGACCCACAGCAATGTGGTTGACTCTTAACTGCCCTCTGGGCAATTCAGGATGGACAATAAATGCTGCCTGGTCAGCAACGCCCTCATCCTGTGAATGAATTTAAAAAAAAATTATACTCCTAAATTACTGACAATGTATGTTAACCAATTATTGTAAATTCACTGCATGAGTTTTGTTCCGATAAACCCATAATTGTGGTTATTAAGAAATTTGGTTGACCTTTTTATTTGAAACCTGATATCGACAAGATATGGCTGGCTTGGTAAGTGGAAATATCACTTTTGATTTTATGGCTCCAGGAGTTGTAGGACTAGAGTGAGAGTGCGCTCCTCTAGCCTCAGCCTGTTCCTTTTTCTGTTTTTTGCCTCTGGCCCAGCTTATTACCACTAAGCCCTATTTTATCCTCACCTACTGTACATATAAAACACACACTCTTTCACTCACTCTGTCTCACTCTCTCGCACCCTCAAACTCTCTCTCTCTCTCTCTCTCTCTCATGCGCACACACACACACTCACCACACCCCACGTGCGTGTGCGCACACACACTCTTGATTATGTGGTTTGGTCCAAAGTGGCTGGGGTTTGAACCCATGGTCCTCGCGTCACCATAACCTCTTCAAAAAATGTCCCAAACACTGCCCTGGCTAAGAACAGCTGACTCAGTACAAGATATGCTGTCACTAGTTTTTGTAGTATTTCGCCTCAAAATCAGATCTCTTCCAGCCTATTTCCTTTGTAACCATGTTGCATAGATATCTTGATATGTATATACATTGATATATTTAGATGGATTTATTAGGCTGGAAATAAATTCTGTTCTGCCAAAAATGGAAAACAAATAGGACTTGTTAAAAAAAAAGTCTCTGTACAGAACTGATGTCTGGTTGCCCAGGTGCAGATTATTTTTAGAACAGAGCATTCCAACTTTGACTTAATTTTTGATCACCACATTTGCTGTACAGAACTCTGTCCCATACTTAAAAACTGAACTGCTGCTTGGCCTATTGCTTGTTGAGCCTTAATGATCAAGGATGATCGGAAAAGGGTACGGGGTAAGCTTATGAGTTGTATTGAGATCCGATGGCGCAGCAGGAGGACATTCGTCCCATTACACCTGTACTGGCTCTTTTGAAAGAGCTGTCCAATTAGTCCCACAGACCTGCAAAAGTAATTCCTTCTTTACCCACGTCCTCTTTGGAAGTTATTGTTGGATCTACCTTTTTTTACACTTGCAGGCAGGGTGTTCCAGATCAGGCCCGCAATTGAAAGCAAACCAGAAGATGTAGGAGCAGTGGTAGGCCATTCAGTCCATCGAGTCTGCTCTGCCATTCGATGAGATCATGGCTGATCTGATAATCCTCTTTGCCTGTGGGTTTTTTTTTCTGGCCAATTAGCTTCAATCTGTGTGCTCTGGTTAGCAACACAGCTGACAAATGGAAGCTGTTCCTCCTTATTAAAGGTTAAGAATCTGGACATGCATGATCAGAGCAATGAGCTGTGTGAAAAGTGGTGATTTTTGAGGCACTGATGATATAGCAACGAGCATGACTATGGAGCTGAGTTGTTAGGGGCGAACCTGGGAGAGTTCTAAAAACCTGTGGAGGGGATTTGTTGTACAATCTGACAATTCTGAACTGAAATTTGAAGAACGATTCAGCTTCCACAAAACTAATTGTTGATTTGGTGAGTAAAGCCTATGAAAGCTGTGTTGCTTTGGTTACAGTGGTTACTATAACAACCAGTTGGATGATTCAGGGAACTGTCATTAAAATCCCAAATGATTTTTTAAAGCCAAGATTGAGCCATCGAGTTTTTGTATTTACAAAAAAAATCTCTAATTTATACCTCTTCCACATTGGAGTCCCTTACATACCACTGGCCACTCTCTCTAGCCATGAACACCTACAGTCTCTTTAAGATGTTTCAAGATGATCTGAAGGGTCAGGTTTGGTTGGACGCATTGACTTCATAGACCCAATCTTTATGTCTGAGCCTTGACAGTAGGTATTTGGGGGCTGTTTGACAGTAGTCCAGCTGCAAACTGTGGGAAAAGGTTCAAGGTCAAAGCTTGCTGCGTAGGACAAAATCTTTCCTTCTGTGGTTCTTTGACCAATCTGTGTCCTATGGTTACCAAGCCACCTGACCAATACAACCAGTTTCTCCTTATTAACGCTCATCAAGATCCTTCAAGGGTTCAATCTTAAATGCTCATACTGTCCATGACAATCAAGAGCAGGAGAATGGATTTTTGGCCATCCTTGCCCTGGAGCATGGAAATTGATAGGAGCATTCCATTGCTATCATTGCTGTGAGTTAAAACCATTAACCTCTCAGGAGAGCATTATGTGCTGCAATGATCCATGAAGTCACTAATAAACTCTGATGAAGACTCTAACAGTGGAGACCCTCAGAGGTTTGGCAGACTGAAAGGACAGCAGATATAGCTGTGTCAATGTGGCGATGATCATTCATTGCTGGATTTCATTGTTGCAGGTATAAGTATATTAACAGGAATTTGAATTCTCATGCTTAACCCTTTAATAGCCATTATTTACCCTGTTACCACTTTGTTGCCTGAATGAAAAAGAAAGTACCCAGTCGTGCTTACTAACACCCCACATGATGACAACAATAGTATATTCCATTTGCTGAGTATGTTGTGGATTCTTTAAGCGTTCACCATTCTGTGGCTCGCTGTTGCAAACTTCTACTGTAGATGGAACCACGAAGATATCTGATCCCCATATCTATGTGGGGAGATGACAGCCTAGTGGTATTATCATTAGACTGTTAATCCAGAGACTGAGGTCATGTTCTGGGGACTCAAATCAGTCGATTGTCGGAAAAACCCATCTGGTTCACTAATGTCCTTTAGGGAAGGAGATCTGCCATCCTTACCTGGTCTGGCCTACATGTGACTCCAGACACACAGCAATGTGGTTAACCCTAAGCTGCCCTCGGGCAATTAGGGATGGACAATAAATCCTGGCCTGACCAGTGATGCCCACATCCTGTGAACGACTTAAAAAAAAGCCACAGGATCACCAATGCACTGATGGGAATGTTTCCATGTCCCAATATCTATGGTACTGTTTCACAGTTTGTGGGTGTCACTGGCAGGGCCAACATTTATTGCCCATAGTAAAAACAGAGTGTTGGCGAAATTCAACAGGTCTGGCAGCATTGGTGGAGAGCGAAACAGAGTTAATATTTCAAGCCTGTTATGGCTCTTCAGAATGTTCTGAAGAACAGTCATTATATTTTATTCTAGATGTCTAACATCCACAGTGTTTACTTATTACCCATCCCTAATGGCCTTCGAATGTTGTGGGGAGCTGCCCTCTTACCCTGAAGTCCATGTGGTGTAGGTTGATCTACAGAGCTGTTATGGAGGGAGTTCCAGGATCTTGACCCAGCGACAGTGAAGAAATGGCGATATATTGCCGAGTCAGGACAGTGAGTGGCTTGGAGGGGAACTTGAAGGAGTGGTAGTGTTCCCATGTATCTGCTGCCCTTTTCCTTCAGGGACGCAGAGATCCCAGGTTTGCAAAGTGCTGTCTAAGGAGCCTTGGTGAGTTACTGGGTCATAGCTGAACCTCAAGCACATGAAATTAAAAGACAGGAACAGGCAAATTGGCTGAATTCTCACAGCCAAACTCTCCCATTGTAATGTCCTGGAACTCTGAGTATCCCTGATATCTTTGCCTGGCACATTGTTCCCAATATTTCTTCCCAGTGTCTGTTTTCATTTGGCTTTTCACTCATTTTAAATTGAAATCCATTTGGCCCCACTTGCCAGTTTTACATTGATATTGAATGGTTTTCTGAGGTTAAGATTGTGTTACACAGCTCAGGGAGGTCCTGTCTTCCTTGTAAACTGAGGTGTGAGACTTTATCAATGAAATATCAGATCATTGTGTCACAGGACTATGAACTGATTGCAGTAGCGCTCCCTATTCCCAGTGGAATCCTCAAACCGTACAGTTCAGGAAAGGGCCATTTGGCCCATCAAGCCTGTACCATCTCTTCAGATGGGCTATCCAGTTAGTGCCACTCACTTGCCAGAGGTACTGAATTTCTTTTTCCCTTCCAAACACTCTCTGGCTCTCTGACACAAGTTCCTATTGAATCAGTTTCCAACTCCCTGTCGGATCCAGAACACAATAATGCGCCACGTTTATTGTTTAAAAGAAACTTCTTCTCTTCCCTTTACAATTTGTCTTTAGTCAGTGAGCTGTTACTCTCCCTCTTGCAGGTCCAGACTATTTCCTGCTCCACCAAAACTCCCCGACGCCAGGAACTCATCCCTGAAACTTGTCTGCTTCATGGTGAACCACTGTGCCTTGTTCACCAGTGTCATTGTGTGTCTCCTAAAATCCCTTTTTGTCATTTGTAAATCGCATATCTGACCTGCCCACATACCTGTGTGTGGCAAAGGAGCATCTGAATGAGCTACTAATATCCCTGACTCTGCAAGTGATAGCAGTCCTTGCGGCAGCTCAGACAGTGGGCCACCCTTTACTGGGTGATGGTAAGTGTCAGCTCGGTATTGGACTCGGCAGAGCGTGCAAGGTTCCACTATTGTTTCTCACTTTCTGGGTCCTGTCCACCAGCCCCAGACCCATCCTGATGGGTGTTGGTGATGGTGATGGGGAGCAGCTGGTGACTGTGTTCAACCTCTAACAGCCTTCCCCACCCGTACCATCCCCATCCCCATCCCCCACTCCCCACCCACATTCTCCATCAACCTCTAACAACCTTCCCCACCCACACCAACTCCACCCTCCACCCTCCACCCACATTCTCCATCAACCTCTAACAGCCTTCCCCACCCACCCACATTCTCCATCAACCTCCAGCAGCCTTCCCCACCCATACCACACCCACTCCCCATCGACAATTTCCACACTCTCCACCCCCACTATTCACCCCACCCCCACACTCCTCACCCCCCAAACCCACCATCCACACTGCCCAGCCGCACCAGCCCTACTCCCCATTCTCCATCAACCACTAACAGCCTTCCCCACCCACACCACACCCACTGCCCATTGACAATTTCCATACTCTCCACCCCCACTATTCACCCCAACCCCACACTCTCAATCCCCACATCCCATCAACACCTTCCCCACACCAACCCCAATCCTCTCTCCCCACTCCCCATTCTGCCCTCACTCACCTCCCACCCCACTCTCCAGTCCGTCCTCTCTCAACTGCACCCCCACTCCCCCACTCCCCACTCTGCCCTCACTCACCCCCACCACCTCTCATCCACTGCTCCGTTCCTCCAACAAAGCCACACACAACACACCTGATGCCAAGTCCAATTCAATCACTTGTATGTGGAGGCGCTTCCTGGTCCTGAGTTCTGGCATCTGTGCAGCGCAGGATGAGACACGGTAGAACCCAGACCCCAGTCAGATATGCGTGAACCTGACACTCACAGTGGCAGGGTTTGGACTGTAATTTGCCACGCCATTTTGAACCCATTATATAAGCAGTACAGCTTTAAGTAAGCTGGCAAGCTTTCATCCTGAAACAGAAACCACAGCACTTCACTCTCAGATTGTGGAGGAGGAAGCTCTGTTGAGTGCTGAACATTTCTGGTTTATTTTTAATCCGAGCCCTCCTTTTTGATTCTGACTGCTTTAGGATTCTCTGCCCGATGACCTGAAATGCTTTGATCCAACCTATCCCTGCTGCATCGTGGATGGTTTGGGAGCTGTTAATGCGAAACGAAAGGAACCACTGCGATTAGCTCGGAGGCTCTGCTATGATCTGTCTGACAGTGGCAGGTAGGAGAGTGAATTTGGCGAGCAATATCTGCCATCTCAGTAAAATGTATTTGTATTCGCTCTGGTTTAGTGTATGCGAGAGAATTAACACATTCAAATTCCTGATCTTTCTCTGCCATCTCTCCCCTCCTATAAACTGCTATGATCATCAGAAGCCAGGCTGAACTAGTAAGGATTTGACATAAACCAGGATGGATTGGGCAGGAGATGGTTTGGGTCAGTATGGTTTGTGTAAACTGGTTGCATTGGGCTCAAGTAATGCAGGCAGAGAGAAGTTTAAAATCCTGTTGGCTCACTTCTGGAAAGGGGATTTTATTGAGGTTCATCATGAGCAGTTCCATGATGCAGGACAGTGTGCTCTATAGGCTGTTCCCAGGGATACACACTGAAGCAACCATCAGCTGTAGCTGGAGGATGAGCAGCTCAGTGAAAGGTAGGCTCTGGTCTCCTGGAGACTTGCTGGTCTTCCAGAGCTGTCGGTGATAGAGTGCGGCAGACTGGCATGTGCCAAGATCCAGGGCTATTTGCCAAGTGGTGTACCAAAACTATAGCTGCAGAGACTTAGCAGGGAAAAGCCAGAACCGAGGGTCCTCTCAACATGAGGGGCTGAAGGATGAGTAAACACCTCTCGGGCTGTGTGTTTGACATGCAACGAATATTGTAAATGTAACCTGTAGTTGCAAGTGTGGTTGAGCACCTCAGAATACACACACACACACGTATACACACACATACACATATACATGCGCGCGCGCACACACACACACACGTATACATGCACGCGCGCACACGCACACACACACATATGTATACAGCACACGTACACACACACACACACACACACACTCTCTGTCACGCAGACACAGCGAGACGCACTTGTTTTCTCTCTCTCTCTCACCCACACACACAAGCACGCACACAGTGAGATGCACTCATACTCTCTCATTCTCTCTCTCTCTCACTCACTCTCTCACTCACACACTCACACTCACACACACACACACACACACACACACACTCTCTCACACATACTCACACACACACTCACACACACAGTTTCGAGAACAAGTGAACTGTGTTTCACTTTACGTAATATCAAATTTGAGCAGTTATGTAACATTAATGCGTACAATTTGGAAAGGTACATTTTTATGGAAAACAATTCAAGCTGACTGATGCAATGGAGTTCTCAGGAGGAGCCTCACTGTTGGGAGTACCATTTTCTTGATGTGACGTTAGATCATCTTCCCCTTCAAGCGAACATAAAAGATACCGTGGCACTATCTTGAAGAAGAGCAAGGGAGCTCTTGCCAATGCCCTGACCGTTACCCATCTCTCACTCAATATGACTAATACCAGGTAATTTTGGGGGTTTTCTGTGTACAACTTGGCAGCCTTGTTTCCTGCATTACAGGAATACCTTAAAAATAACCTTCTGAAATAACTGCACAGAGGCCGGTATCCCATCACCAAGTCCCCCTTTTGTTATGTGTGCACCTAATTTCCCTGATTTGAGGAAATTCTGTATCCCAGACATAAGTCTGTCAGCCAGAGCTCCCTGATTGGCCCAGGTTAAAAACCCCAATCAAGGATCTCATAGTTAACAAGATCCACCCGGTACCAATCATTACAAAAGGATTATCAGGGTTGGAGGGTTTGAGCTATAGGGAGAGGCTGAATAGGCTGGGGCTATTTTCCCTGGAGGGTAGGAGGCTGAGGGGAGGCCTCATATTCGTTTATAAAATAATGAGGGGCATGGATAGGGTGAATAGCCAAGGTCTTTTCCCTAGGGGGAGTCCAAAACTAGAGGGCATAGGTTTAAGGTGAGAGGGGAAAGATTTAAAAGGGACCTATGGGGCAACTTTTTCAGGCAGAAGATTATGCATGTACGGAACGAGCTGCCAGAGGAAGTGGTGAAGGCGAGTACAATTACAACAATTAAAAGGCATCTGGATGGGTACATGAATAGGAACGGTTTAGAGAGATATGGGCCAAATGCTGGCAAATGGGACTGGGTTAATTTAGGATATTTGGTCGGTGTGGACGAGTTGGACCGAAGGGGCTGTATATCTCCACGACTCTATTTTCAATAAAATAATTTGGGATATCCTAAGGTATGAAATGTGCTGTGTAAATGAAATTGTATTAGTCAAGGCCAGGATTGGATAGGTTGATTGGGTAGAAGATTGTGACAAACAGTTGCTTGTTTGTCTGGCTAGCTCAATGGTGCCAGTGGATAAGGAACAATGCTCTTCCTGATAATTAAACTATCTGCAGCAGAAAAAAAACCTTCAAGTGCACAGGGACCCTAGACAGGCAGCTCCCAGAGGGCTTCAAAGCATGGTATGTCTGCAAGTGTTCCTGCGGTATAGTGTGGAATGAAATATTTTGCTGCAAGTTATTTATATAACAATTATTTTGCAGCCAACTTGTAATAAAAGTAGAACGCATTGTGGAAACTCAGCAGCTCTGGCAGCACCTGTGCAGGCAAGAACAAAATTAATGTTTTGAGCCGAACATGACTCCTCAGAACTGAAGAGAGGTGGAGAAATGATGGCTTTTATACTGCAGCAAAGAAATGTGGAGGAACAACAGAAGGGAAGGTGAGGGAACCATAGGGGACGGGCGTTGCTGGTGTCACAGAGCAAAAGGCAAAGGGAGCTGTGATAGTTGTCAAGAAGTGATATAAGTGCAGGGTAGGTATTATTAGAAGAAAGTAGGTCATCACTCGATTGAAGGCACAACTGAGGAATACAGTTATTTGGGGCAGGGGTGTTTGGAGGCAGGGAAGCAAATGGAGGGCAAAGTTCATGGTCTGATGTTGAACACAATTTGACTCCAGGAGGATGTAAAGTGACTGAAGGGAAAATGAGGTGCTGTTATCCCACTTGTGGTAAGCTTTATTGCAGGAACTCTGAGACACAGATGCGAGCATGAGGGAAGACGATGTATTAAAATAGCAATTGGGCAGAATGCTTGAAAAGGTGTTCTGTAAATCAGTCAACTAATCTACACTGGATTTCACCATTGTGCAGGACGTAGCAGCGTGAGCAGGGAACACAGTTTCCTAAATTGGAAAAAGTACAAGTAAATCGATGTTACACCTGTAAGGAGTATTTGGGGCCTTGGACAATGAGGAGGCAGGAACTGAAAGGGGCACATCACTTCCTGGATTGCCCAAGAAGGTGCCATGAGGGGACAGCAAGTGTTGGGAGTGACTAAGGAGTGGACCAGGGTATCACGGAGCGAATGGTCCCTGCAGAACGCTGACTGGGGAGAGGAGGGAAAGATGTTTTTGGTGATGACATCTTGCTGGAGTGGCAGATATGGCAGGGTGACCCTTTGAATACAGAGGCTAGTGGGGTGGAAAATGAGGACAAGGAGAATCTTATCATGGTACTGGGATGGAATGGAAGGGTTGGTGTGAAGTGCTTGAAATGGATTAGACATAGTTAAAAGCCTTGCCCACAACAATCACTAGAACTAGGGGACATAGCCTCAAAATAAGGAGGAGCAGATTTAGGACTGAGTTGAGGCGGAACTTCTTCTCCCATAGGGTTGTGAATCTGTGGAATTCCATGCCCAGCGAAGCAGTTGAGGCTTCCTCATTGAATGTTTTTAAGGCACAAATAGATAGATTTTTGAACAGTAAAGAAATGAAGGGTTATGGTGAGTGGGAGGCTAAATGGAGCTTTGTCCATGAAAAGATCAGCAATGATCCTATTGAATGGCAGGGCAGGCTCGAGGAGCCAGGTGGCCTACTCCTGTTCCTATTTCTTATGTTCTTATGTCGCAGTTTTAGAAGTGGGAGGGAAATCCTCAGTTGAGATAAAAGGTACCTCTGTTGGATGGTGGCATTATTGGCAGAGGTACAATAATGAGCGAAATGGAGGAACTGGGAGAATATAATGAACTCCTAAAGGAAGTGGCGTAGGAGAAAGCGTTGTTGTGGGAGCAGCGGGAGTCGGGTTTGCTATGAACATCAGCGGACAGTCTATCCCAAGAAATATAGAGAGAGAAGTCTCCAGATAAGTCATATACTGGGCTTGAAATGTTTAACTGTGTTTCTCTCTCCATGGGCATTGCCAGACCTGCTGAGTTTCTCCAGCACTTTCTATTTCTGCAATGCTTTGCCTTTGTCTTGTAATGTTCCCTCAATCTCATAGTCTCCTTTCAAATCTACCCTCCCTCTCGCGGAAATGTTTGGTGCAAATTCTTGGAAATGATTCAATGACTCAGCTGCATGTTTCTGGGGGAGTGTGTCCACCTACTCTGTGATTGAAACTGAAAAGCATCCCAGGGTCACAAGCCAACATTATCCTCTATACTCAATAATAGACCATCTCTTTTAGAAGTGCGTGTTGCTAATATTTCTTGCCTTTAACACTCTAATGAAGACATTTGAGAAATATACTGAATTGTCAATCTTTTTCTCCAATCCTCCCAAGATTTCTGCAGCCCTCACATCCCAAAGTCCCTCTGCATGTGAATGCTAGCCATTCAGCTGGACTATTGAACATTGCAAGGCATCACAGCCACATCCTTCTGTCCTTATCCACAGCCCAGAATTTGGTACTGTAAAAATGCATACGTTGCCGTTGCTGGCTGTGATTGGAGGGAAAACTGATGGCATCTGCTGATGTCTGTCCTTGTGCGGTTAAACACTAAAATACATTTATACCTCACTGCTTTGGGCTGTACTGTCACAGTCTTTGCAGTTGGAATCTGTGCAAATGTCACTGTTAGGACATGAACTAATTACTCACTGTTATCATATGAGAGACTGATTAAAAAAATGCTTGAGGCTCTTTCAATCAGTGATTCATTATGATTTTAATAGCTTAGTGCATCACAATTACTGCTAAACATCCTCTCTGGCCCTGAAAAAAAAATATTACCAGGGTGGGGTAAATTTGATGATTTTCCAATTCTGTTACTACTTTAATCACCCACTTGCATGATTTTTACATCAGTTCTTCCATAATGATGCATATTTCCTGATTCCTGCTTCCTGCTTTGCCATCTGTGTGGATTCTCCAATCTCACTGGTCAGTCAACATTGTTATTAAAGTGGATGTTGACCCCCACCTCTTCTTTTAGAACCAAAACCCAAAACACCCAAGGAGGAGCACCTTGGCCTATAATCTGTTAAGAGGAGGGTGAAAAGGAGTGTAACCTGTCTTTCAGCAGCTTCTAGTGGTTAAATCAAATAAAGCCCTGACACTCCCTTTACAATCAACAAGTAACAATTTATTTATCTAACTCTACCAGTGAACAAATTAACTAAACTATTAATAAACCAAACAAATCCCTTCTAACTGCTAACTATTCCCGAATAACACAAGATTTTAATGGTATGCTGTTCTAATAAATCCAAGTCCCACTTATATAACAAAACAATAGAATTTAGTGTCTTGAAATTATAGCCAGATTACATCTTCTGGAATGGTCTGTGCCTGCTCCATTGAATGTTCTGTCAGGAATGCCTTCTCTGTCGATTCTTCTGTCAGGGATATTAACAAATTGTGCCGTAGGTACCTTTGATTTGGCTGGTGTTTTCTCTAAGGCTTAGAGAATTCTGAGAGAGCTAGTAGTTCTCTCTTCAGAACTGATGGCTCTTAACTCTGGCAGATGGCAGTTCGCTCTTGTGTCCTTGCCCAACTACCTTCTTCTTTTAGAACCTTTATGACATATCAATATTTCTTAAAATAGGATTGGTCCTATGTTGCCAAAACTATCAGATTTAAATTTAATTGATTTTTGGTGTCTGGGCGCCTGGTTCAAATTGATTGGTTAAATTCTAAACTTGTCGTCTTAGTATCGAAACAAAACTGCTGCTTGGCCTGCAAACTGTATGGCCTTTTGATACAAATGTGTTAATTCGGGTACTCTTTGTGCGCCTGCAAACCCACAAGCTGCTGCCCACAGACATCCTTTTTGAATCTTTCAGCATAGAAAAAGCACATCATCTTTTGAAGGGACCTCACACTTCTTCCCCCACTAGCGTTTTACAAACACCAAATTCTAACTTCCTGCCTCCCAATCCACAAGTACGCTACCCAACTTTGCAACAACATTGTCTGCCAGATACCATCGAGTTCTAACACTTTAGTGAAGGTATTTGAGAGTTATATTGAATGGTCCATTTTATCTCTGTGCTTCCTGGTAGGGATGGTTTTTGCTGTCCCTAGGCCCTCTTTATATGGGAGCTGTTAGGGACCCCAACTTCAAATTGACAGTGCAATTAGGGAGACCTAATCCCTGGTGTCTGCTGAATCTTTCTGGGCAGTGTTTGTGTATTTGGGGTTTAATGATGTATAGTTCAAGCTGCTTAGTACTTTATTCTTTTCCACTACCATTTAGAGTCCTAGAGCCACACAGCACAGAAGCAGATACTTCGGTCCAACTTGTCCGCGCTGACCAGACATCCCAATCTGACCGAGTCCCATTTGCCAGCATTGGGCTCATATCCCTCTAAACCCTTCCTATTTGTAAACCCATCCAGATGTCTTTTAAATGTTCTAAATTGTATCAGCCTCCATCGCTTCCTCTGGCATACATGCACCACTTCCTGTGTGAAGTCGTTATCCCCTCATGTCCCTTTTAAATCTTTCCCCTTACACCTCTAGTTTTGGACCTCCCCACCCTGGGGAAAAGACCTTGGCTAATCACCCTATTCATGCCCCTCATGGTTTTATAAGCTTCTATAAGGTCACCCTTCAGCCTCAGGATGCTCCAGGAAAAAAAGCCCAACCTATTCAGCATCTCCCTAAAACTCAAACCCTCCAATCCCAGCAGCATCCTTGTAAATCTTTTCTGTACCCTCTCAATTTTAACAACATCCTCCCCATAACAGCCAGACCAGAATTGTATGCAGTATTTTAAAAGTGGCCTTGCCATTGTCCTATACAGCTGCAACATGATGTCTCAACGCCCATACGCGACGTTCTTACCAATGAAGGCAGCCTTCTTCATTACCCTGTGTACCTGTGACTTCACCTTCAAGGAACTAAGCACCTGTTAAAGATTTTGTTTGCTGAGAATGATGAAACCTGGTGTGAGCTATTTTTGCCCGGAATAGCGTTCGGTCAAGCAAATCGGTCACCTTGATGGTTTAAATTCGGTATTCGTACATTTGTGATAACAAGGTGTAGAGCTGGATGAACACAGCAGGCCGAGCAGGAAAGCTGACGTTTCGGGCCTAGGCCCTTCTTCAGAAAATCTAGGTCTAGGCCCAAAACGACAGCTTTCCTGCTCCTCTGATGCTGCTTGGCCTGCTGTGTTCATCCAGGTCTACACCTTGTTATCTCAAATTCTCCAGCATCTGCAGTTCCTACTATCTCTGCAACAATTCGTACATTTGTGATGGTTTGTGGATTGGTGGAGCTTATCAGTGCATTATTCCCAGTTGTGTCATGACACTCTCAGTTAAATAATAACTCTATTGCAGTGCTTCATTCCAACACAACTGATCAAAGCCAGCATCTCTATCATAGGCTAAAAGGTTACGTTATGAGGGCAGATTGCGCTAAGTCAGTGGCTTTGCATCTGATGCACTACCACGCAAAAGACTTCTGACTGAAATTATAACTGATTGAATGGAAGGGACAGCAACATGGGTGTGAAATTCACTAAGTGAGAGATCAGTGCTTCATGGATTTTTTTTTGGGGGGACTAGAAGGAGGTTTGTAGTGGAGTTCCCAAGAAATCAGTGCTGGAATGTTTGCTTTTCGGATGTGTATTAAAGACTTAGTGTAGAGGTTTAAAAGGAGCTTGGTGGAATGGGTGCAAGGTGTAGTTCGTTTTGGTAGGAAGAACGTGGAGAGACGATATAAAATAAAGGGCACAACCCTAAAGCGAATGGAGGAACAGAGAGACCTTGGTGACTATGTCATTGATGGCGGCAGCCCAAGGTGAGCAAACTGTTAATAAAACATATTATATGTTTAATTTTATTAGTAGGGGCATAGAGAGTGAGACCAAGCAGGTTATTGTTGAACTTGTACAGGACTACACTTGAGAAGTACTTCATTGGTTGTAAAGGACTTTGTAATGTCTGACATTATGTGCTACATAAATGCATTTTTTAGAGCAGGAAGCCATCATTTGCTGCCATTACAGTGAGGCGATTCCCTGCCTTCATCTGATGGCACTGCAAAATGGCAGTGGAGTTTCTCTCCTGAGCCAGAGCTCATACGCTCTGACTGCTTTCCTTTTCTCTTTTCTTGTTTTGTTGTTTTTGCTTGGGGTGCCTCGAGTGAGCCCTTACTTATTTTCTGGGACAAGCATGGGACCTGGCATCAGAATCGGTGGGGTAGCCTGAGCAGGAAAAAAACGGCCCCTGAGGATTGGTGAGTTTATTGTTGGTTGGGTCTGGTGTAGATGGCAGTGAGACGGTGGAGGAGGGATAGTGGCACAGGCATCGTTGATGGTGATGAGCTGACTCAGGACTGTTAGATTCCCTTTAACCTCTAACTTTCTATTTTCTTTTCCCTTTTTCCTATTTATTCTAAATGGCGCCAGACCGTGGAGACATTGGAAAAGCCTTTCACTGCATTTTACTATTTTCTCACTACAATATATGTGACAATAAATTCAATATAGTGCATTTCTCATTTCTCTGCTAGGTCTCCCCTCACCAACGGTGAAGAGGTCCCTGGGCCCTACAACCGATTGATAGCCAAAAGGAGGCGCTCTTTGTCTCACCTTCCAGATGCCTGCCAAGCAGATGTACCCCCCTGCTCATTCCCCCAAGGCCTGGCAGGGGGCCAGTCTGACGTGAACCTCACGGTCCGCCTGTTGGACAGTGGGAAGAAGCGGGCACAGCTGGTGGACCACCTGAAAGAGGCACACCAGCTTTTGGAGGGGCAGTCTGAACAGCTGAGGAAACGCAACGGTCAACTGTTGGAGAGCAAAGCCAAGATTGAGTTGCTCTCTGCCAAACAGAAAGTAAGTGAGGTGCCTACTGTTGTTCATTCTCGGTCCCTTGCATACACGCTTTCAAATTTAATTTGGGCAAGATCTAAATCTAGGTCTTAAACCCATGACTTTCACCGTGCAGAAGAACAAAGGGTTAATGGTAATCTCCCCACGCCCGACCTCATCCCATGACCAAGCCTCCCCCTCATCTCCGCCTCCTTGACCTGTCCGTCTTCTTTTCCCACCTACCCGCTCCTCCCACCTCACTGACCAACCCCCACCATTGCCTACCTGAACTCACTATCATCACCCCACCCACCGTCCCCAGCCCCACCCCTCCTCTCTCTATTTATTTCAGAGCCCCCTACCCCTCCCCTGTTTCTGAAGAAGGGTTCAGACCTGAAACGTCAGCTTTCCTGCTCCTCTGATGCTGGCCTGCTGTGTTCCTCCAGCTCTACACTGTGTCATCTAAAGTGTTAATGGTAGTTGTCTTTTCCCTAGGATGGTGGATTTCAAGGGGCATATTTTTAACGTGAGAGGAGAGAGATTTAAAGAAGACAGGAGGGGCTTTTTTTTTTTTTTTTACAGAGGGTGGTTTGCAAGGGGAATGAACTTCCTGAGGAAGTGGTGCATGTGTGTACAATGATAACATTGAAAAGACATTTGGGTAAGTACATGAATAGGAAATGTTTGGAGGGATATGGGCCAGGAGCAGACAGGTGGGACTAGTTTAGTTTGGGATTATGGTTGGCATGGACTGGTCGGACCGAAGGGTCTGTTTCTGTGCTGTATGAATCTATGACTCTATGATGAAGCACCACCTGTAAGTTCACCCCCACCAATCACACTCCATCCTTACTGGAAATAAATGTTGTTTCTTTATCATTGCTGGGTCTTAGAAACAGAAGATAGCGGCAGGGGTAGGCTATTCAGCCCCTCAAGCCTGTTCTGCCATTCATTATGATTGTGGTTGATCATCAAGCTCAATACCCTTGAAAACAGACAATATTTTAGCCTCAACCAATTTCTAAGGGAGAGAATTCCACGGGCTCACTACTGTCTGGGTGAAGAGATTTCTCATCGTTAACATTGAAGATCCCCAAGGCCAGTAAGTTCAGGAAGGCAGCTCACCATCAGCTACCCGAGGGCAACTGGGACAAGCAATAAATGCTGGTCTTGCCAGTGGTGCCCATGTCTATGAATGAATTTTCTTAAATCAAAGCCATCTTCTTTCTTAAATCTCATAAGGAGTTGAAGAGAAGGTTCATTATCCAGAGGTTTTTATTTCTTTATTAATTTTCTTATAATTTTTAGCAATTGGAAAATTCAATTTCTCAACTAGAAGGGGAGAAGAATATGCTGGAAATGTCACGACTTGAAGATCAAAAGAGAGGTGGAGTGCTGCAGGATAAGTAAGATGGCTTGGTGTTCCATGTGTTTCCTTGGTGTAGGTTTGTATTGGGTTAATGCTTGGCTCATTGTCTCTATGTTGCTGATTGCTGAGCTTCTCTGAATCAGCTCATCCAGCCCTATGCTCTGCTCTAAGCTATTGACTCTTCTAAGCCTAATGGCTTCAAATGAGGCTATTTGGTCCATCCTGCCTGAACAGGCGGTTTGAACATCTCATCCATTTTGCCCCACTCCCTCCGCTTTCCCCAGTAATCCCTGCAAATGTTTTTCTTTCCAAGTATTCTTCCAATTCCTTTTTGCTAGTTACTATTGACTCTCCTGCCTTTTCAAGTAGCTCATTCCAGATCCTAACAACTCATGATGTTCATTTAAAAGAAAAGGAAAAATTCTCCTCATCGTTCCTCTGGTATGTTTAAATCTGTATCTTCCAGTTACCAAAATCCACCCTCCAGTGAAAAATGTTCACACTTATTCAGTCTGTGAAGATACCTCATGATTTTTATCTCCCCCATTTAAACATTCTCTTTTACTTCCTCTACTTTTATCAATGGATTCCCAGTGTCATTGCTCATCATGGTTTAGAGATCTGAATAGTGAACAGTACAGCACAGGACCAGGCCCTTCAACCCACCAAGACTGTGCTGACGCATGACACCTTTCTAGGCTAAAAAACTTTTGCCTCTCTGCTATCGATATCACTGTATTCCCTGCCTATTCTGTCAAGATACCTCTTAAATGTTGCTACTGTATCTGCTTCTACCACCTCTTCTGGCAGCACATTCCAGGCACTTACCACCTTCTGTGTTTAAAAAAAACTTGCCTCTCTCATCTCCTTTAAGCTCACCTTATTTTACTTTAAAGCTATGTCTCCCAGTTATTGACATTTCTACCTTGGGAAAAAGACTGACTATCCATTTTTTCCCTGCCTCTCATAATTTTGTAAATTTCTATCAGGTCGCCCTGTAACCTTCGACATTCAAGTGAAAATAAACCCAGGTTGTCCAACCTCTTCTCATAGTTAATACCCTCCAAACCAGAAAACATCCTGGTAAACCATTTCTGCACTCTCTCCAAAGCTTCCACATTCTTCTGGTAGTGCAGGTGACCATAACTGTACATAATATTCCAACTAAAATGAAGGTTTCTGCCATTTACTGTATAGTTCCCACCTGCATCAGACTTTCCATCACCTTGCCATTTGCCTGAATTAAACTGTTAGCCATTTCTCAGCCTATCTCTATCCTGCAAGAAAAAATAGGCGTTTCAGTAAAGCCTTTCCTGACCTCTGGACAAATTGAAGTGCCTCAAAACAACTGTCAAAGTACTGTACTTCAAAATGTTGTAATTTATGAAATGGTAGTCCATTTGCTCACAGCAAGTTCCCACCAATAACAATATGATAATGATCAGATTGTCCATTCTTCTCTGATAGTGGCTGAGGGGATATATTCCTGGCTAGGACATTGGAGATAATTCCTCTGCTTTCTCTCCAAAGCAGTCACATGGGGTCCCTACATCAAACGGAGAAAGCAGTCAGAGTCTCGGTTTCACATCTCATGAGAAAGACAGCACCTCAGACAGTGCAGCATTCCCTTAGTTTTACGTGCAGAGGATCAACCTGGGTTAGGTGCTCAGGCCCCTGCAGAGGAACCTGAGCCCATGGGTGTCTGACTTGGCAATGAGAGAGCTACCCACTAAGAGGAGGTGATGGCCTAGAGGTATTATCGCTGGACTGTTCATCCAGACACCCAGGAATATTGTGGGGACCTTGGTTTCCATCCGGCCATAGCAGATTGAATTGAATAGAAAAAGAAATCTGGAATTAAGAGTCTAATGATGACAATGAACCCATTGTCGATTGTTGGGAAAAACCCATCTGGTTCACTAATGTCCTTTAGGGAAGGAAACTACCATCCTTACCTGGTCTGACCTACATGTAACTCCAGACCCACAGCAATGTGGTTAACTCTTAACTGCTCTCTGGTCAATAGGGATGGGCAACAAACGTTGACTTAGCTAGTGATCCCCCTATCCCGCGAATGAATAAATAAAAGAAATGCCAGGGACAGATAAAGTGGTGGTGGTGGGGCTACATTCAGCATCTAGTTGTGAATGGTACTGTTTCTTTGTGAGATGAAACATTTGTTGCTGTGCTTAGGGTTTCGCATCTGGAGGCAGAAATGGCCAAAACAAAATCGTCCCTGGATCTCATCAGCAGCAGCCATGGGTCTTCTCCTCCCCCTCTCTCATTTCCCTCGGCCAAACTGGAGGATGGAGCTTTGAAACAGGTGAGCACTATTGCGATGTCTTATCCTTGTAATCTTCCTTACTTCTAAGTATTGGTGAGCCTCGGGTCCCATGTTTGACATTGCACATGGAAAGGTGGGAAACCTTGCTACACACAAGCAGACCATTTCTTGAGACCACATCTGGGACACTGTGTACAGTTTTGGCCCCATTACTTAAGGAGGGATGTTCTTGTAGTGGACAACGTCCACTGGGCTAATTCCTGGGATGATGGGGTGCAGAAAAGCAGTTGAGCTTTATGCCATTGGAGGTTAGAGCAATGAGAGGCAATGCTGTAGAAACATACATGAGGGGCTTGGACAGGGTAAATAGACAATGGGCTTTTCCCCAGGGTGGGGGATTCCAAAACCTGAGGGCATAGTTTTAAATTGAGACAGGAAAGATTTGAAAGGGACCTAAGGGGCAACTTTTACATGCAGAGGGTGGTGTGTGTATGGAACGAGCTGCCAGGGGAAGTGGTGGAGGCTGGTACAATTACAATATTTAAAAGGCATCTGGAGCAGTGTATGAATAGGAAGGGTTTAGAGGGATATGGACCAAATGCTGGCAAATGGAACTAGATTTATCCAGGATATCTGGTTAGCATGGATGAATTGGACCCAAGGGTCTGTTTGCGTGCTGTACAGCACTATGACTCCATTTAAGATTCTGAGGGGATTTGACTGGGTGGATGTTGAGAGGATGTTTCCTGTCACAGGGGGCACAGTTTAAAACAAAGAGGTCTCCCATTAAGGACTGAGATGGGCAGGAATCTTTCCTCTCAAGCGGTTGTTAGACTCTTCCTCAAGTGCTGCAGACTGTCATTGAACAGATTCAAGGTGGAGTAAGAATGATTTTTGATCTACAAGGGAGTCCAAGGTTTTGGGGGAGAGACAGGAAAGCAGGGTTAAGGCTACCTTCAGATCAACCGTGATGTTACTGAAAGGCAGAACAGGTTCAACAGGCCAAATGACCTGCTGCTACTCTTGTTACTTTCACTGATTGTTGTTTGAGTCAAGACATACATGACAGATGAATGACCTCCTTCTGTATTGGAATCGTCCATTATTCCATGACAAACTGGAAGAAGGGAAAGGTTATTGGTGGTGGGAGTGGGGGAGACAGGCAGGAAGGGGTTCATGGCAACAGACAGACCAATCCCACACAGTCCCTCAATACTGCAGTTGAGTGCCACTGCATTCATGCCAATGAGTGGGATTTGAGCCCAGAGCCTTGTGACTCAAAGGCACATGCTTAGTACTGAGCCTTGGCTGAACAATGCGGACTTAGTGCACAATTAAACTAAACTGACTCTTGTCCAATTGTCATCCAACTGTACAGGACATTGGTTAGGCCACTTTTGGAATACTGTGTTCAATTCTGGTCTCCATCTTTATAGGAAAGATGTTGTGAAACTTGAAAGGGTGCAGACAAGATTTACAAGGATGTTGCCAGGGTTGGAGGGTTTGAGTTATAGGGAGGTGCTGAATAGCCTGGGGCTATTTTCCCTGGAGCTTGGGAGGCTGAGGTGGGGGGTGAACCTTCTGGAGATTTATAAAATCATGAGGGACATCGCGAGGGTGAGTAGCCAAGGTCAAAAACCGAAAGAACCGTGGATGCTGTAAATCAGAAACCAAAACAAAAACTGCTGGAAAAGCTCAGCAGGTCTGGCAGCATCTGTGAAGAGAAATCAGAGTTAACGTTTCGGCTCAAGTAACCCTTCCTGGGAATTGCGGACATTCTGAGGACGTGTCACTTGACCCGAAACATTAACTCTGATTTCTCTTCACAGATGCTGCCAGAACCCCTGAGCTTTTCCAACAGTTTCTGATTTACAGCAACTGCAGTTCTTTCGGTTTTTATTTTGAATAGCCAAGATCTTTTCCTCTGGATAGTAGAGAGCATAGGTTCAAGGCAAGAAGAGAAAGATTTAAAAGGGACCTAAGGGGCAACTTTTTCATGCAGAGAGTGGTGTGTGTATGGAATGAGCTGCCAGGGGAAGTAGTGGAGTCTGGTACAATTACAACATTTAACAGGCATCTGGATGGGTATATGAATAGGAAGGATTTAGAGGGATACGGGCCAAATGCAGGCAAATGGGACTAGATTAAGAGATAGTAGGAACTGCAGATGCTGGAGAATCTGAGACTAGATTAACGTAGGTTATCTGGTCGGCATAGACGAGCTGGACCAAAAGGTCTGTTTCTATGCTGTACAACTCTATTACTCTATCCACTCCATACACACACTCTAAAACGTTCAGGCTTTTTAGTTTTGTTTCCTAATTTGAGCGCCAGTAATAATACCCCTAATTCCACCATGTCTGAAATTAACGCAGGCTAGACCATGGTTCAGTCCACACTGGGAAAATGTGCTCGTTCTCGACTCTGGTCGATTATCAAATGGAGCAAAATCCACTTTTCCTGCATTGGCTGCATTCCTCTCATTCAGGTGTGACTTGGACAATCCTGCCTTGCCTAGCAGTCGCTGGGGCTTTGTTTACTTCCTTTGCAGGCTCGTCTACTCTTTCAGAGCCAGGCATGTTTGAGCTTGTTTCTTTTCAAAGAGTTTAACCTGTTAGGCTCCTGTTTAACAGCCAAGGGCTGGGAAACGTGATGTGGTTCATGAAGCAATGGCTCTCTCACTTCCAACATGAATCTCCTGCATTCGCATATCTGATAAAGCTCACGACTCTTCTCGTTTTGTGTCCCCGCTTCCCCTCCCTCCTCCATCATCCTTTTCTCACCGTTGGATTTGGTTGATTTGACCTGGTGGGTTGCCGGGGGGAAGGACGGCTTGTTACGGGAGCTGCAGTCTGTGCGGGACACCCTTCGAGTATATCAAGAGCGGGTGAGAAGCCTGGAGGAGGAGCAAGACAAAGCCAGAGAAGACTTGAGAAGCTTTCAGGAGGTTGGTCTATCTTTTACAGGGTACCCCCTTTCGGGGTCATTTTGGGTTTCATAGAATGGCATAGCACAGAATGAGGCAGTTCAGCCCATCACATCTGTGCCAGCCCCTTTGAAAGAGCTATTCAATTAGTTCAGCTTCCTTCCTATTTCCTCAGAACCCTGCAAATACGTATCGTTCTTACTTTTCAAATGTATGTCTGATTCTCTTCGAAAATTGCTACAAAATCTGCTTCCACTGACTTTTCAACCAGTACGTCCCGAATCCTAACAACTTGCTGTGTATTTTTTTAAAAAAAAAAAATCTTTATCTCCGCTCTGCTGCTTTTGTAACTTGTCTTTTAAATCTCCGTGTTGTCTGGATGATGATGGTGTCTGGGACATTGTCTGATTCTGTGAGTATGACTATGTCAGGCCAGTCTGTGAGATAGCTCTGCACCTTGTT